GGTGGGGGCGGGTGGACAGCGCCTTGTTGGTTTGCCGAAGTGGCCACGGGGGGGCAGTGCAGCCCAAGGCTCTCCGTGGTTTTGAGGACCTTTCGGTTGACTTGTGTTTGAAAAAGACGTCTATAAAGTATGCTTTAAAAACGAGTTACTCCCTTTAGAAAAAGAAACAAAAAGAAATCCCCGAAACGTGACAGAGTCACAATGACACAGAACCTGTCATCGGATTAAAGCAGTAACGATAGGGAGCCAGACATAAGTAAGACTTGTAAAAATGCTTATGGACAACTACGAAGGAACATTTGGCGCAATTGGGTCACACATGATCTAAAATATCAAAGTTTGGAAAAATACGAGCAAGACTTCTAGAGTGAGCTTCATTCGAAAGCAGAGGAGCCATGGACATGCTTCTCTGTTTTCGCCTCTTCTGTCCGCTATGCCCGCTCCCTCCACCCTCGCAGGGTTAACACTTGGAAGTCGATGCCCACATTCGGGAGTCTGTCCTTCCCTCCCATAGAAAACGAATGACTTGCAAATGTAATCATCACGGTGGAAATGCCAAGGCGGTTCAACTTAGAGCTGTTCGAAACTTAACCCTCGGGATGCAAGTGTAAACAGAATCGGAATTTATGAATTCGTACATTATTCCTCCCTGCGGAGGACAGTGACCCTTACTTTGACTGTATCCATGGCACGGACGTGACGCCCTCCCCGACGGGGGCCTCCGGGTTGAGCAGCAGGGGCCGGCGAATGGGAGCACAACTCTAGAGAAGAGTGGGCATCGGAGGGTCCAGGCAAACAAGGAGTGAAGACGCGGGACTGGGGAGCCCACGGGAATGTGCCCTAGAAAGGCTGCAGGCACCTGGAGTACCAATCCCTTCGTGTTAACTCTGAAGTCATTTATTAAGGTGGGAAGAGGATGAGAAGTATTACATAGCGGCCATAACAACTGGCCCCTTCCGAACTTCCCCGGCAGCTGCCCTCATCGTTTGGGACAGGCCTCCCTTCTCTCTGACCCCTTCCCGCTACTCTAAACCCGCCCCCTCTCCGCCTTCCTTGGTTCACGCCTCCTTTTGGCTGGGGGATGGAAGGCGGTCCTTCAGGTTATTGTTTGGGAGAGGAGTCTGAAGAGCCAGCTCCAGCTGCCCTTGTCTTCTGCTCATTTCACAGAGCTCCGAGTAGGACGGCAGCTGGCCCCTGCTGCCAGTGACCTACCTGCTGGAAGGTGAGAGCCCAGTGGGCTGAAAACCAGAGCGTTCTAAAGTATGAATGTGCTGGGACAGGTCACCTCTACCTGGAGCACCTGAGGATAAGAGACACGCACACAGAAATCCACACGGGCACCCTTGTCATCACTGTAATGACAGCCAGGTTTGGGGGAGGGATATTTATTTATTTATTTGTTTGTTTTTAGGTGAGGTGGCCCTTGGTTAACCTTACAGATTGCAAGGACCTTGTCAGTTTACAATCTTTTATTTTTTTAAAAAAATTTTTTATGCCTACAGCACCTGGTCTTCCTAGGTGGTCTCCTATCCAAGTACTAACCAGGCCCGACCCTGTTTAGCGTCCGAGATCAGACGGGATCGGGCTTGTTCAGGGTGGCACGGCCGTAGACCCTGGGGGAGGCATTTTTAAAGGAAAGAAAAGCAACCTTTACAGCAACCAGTCTCATCCTTTTGCATCCTACGTCTGCAATTCGCGGCTGCAGCTAACTGCCCAGGACGTGGTGTTGTCTGTTGTCTTCATTTTCAAACATACACTGCCGTACGCGCAAACACACCTGAATTTCCTTTTTTCTTTTTTTTTTTTTTTTAAAACATGTCAATTCTTTTACTTGACTAGTAGAATGAAATTTGAAATTTTAACGTTTTCGGTGTCAATTGCTCAGAAACTCCACTCTTAGAGGTAGCATTTCGAAATACCAATTATTCTGGCAGTTTGACTCAGGTAAAGGGTCATCTTTTAAAAATATTTAAAAAGAAATACAATTCTCAATGTGTGCGTGTGTGTGTGTGTGTGAATGTGTGTGTGAATTTTCCTAAACAACTACTTACAATGCTTTCCTATTTTTTGTGTGTGTGCTATTCTCGAAGCGTACACTTGACTGAAAGAACAGGCATACGATCGATTATTTTAGAAAGTGGTTTTTATTAGACACCTATTTTCTTTGAAACAGGTTGCAACTTTCTATATTCATTAGCATATCACATGCATATGTGGATCTGCATATAGGCACAAAGCTATCAGCATGCTGACTTGACCCAGAGGCCAGGGTCCTCCGCCAGTTATGCAGCTTTTAAGAGCAAAAGGATGCCCCTCCAGTCACCTCCCCTCGAAGCCACAGCCCTCAAGTTTCAGGTTTCAGAGTTTGAGAAAAATCAGTAGCACTTCTTTATTATTCTGACACCTTAATTTCCAGAGTGATTCTCACTTCTTCACATTTCTTCACCTAAGCTTTATCACCAGGCCTCAGCTACACCGAAATTCAAAACATGCTCAAGCAGGTACAAAATAATAAAACTAGCAACCGCAAACGCAAAAGATCTCTTTGAAATGTAGAACTCCCTTAGTGTTTGGGTACCTAAAAGGCATTTAAAGGCCCTTACACTCAGCCTGAAACGGGGAGGCTGGTAAATTGTTCTTTTTGTGGCTTATAAAGCTGGGAGCAGACTGTTTCCAAATGACTACGTTCCTTCTCCCTTTTGCTGATTGATAGTTAAATCCAGAAGGTGATACACACACGCTTATAAAGTTCTGGATTTTCATTAACTAGGTAGTCATCCTTCGCCTAGATCTCCCGTCTCATCTGCACGTGCCCTTGGACCTCAGGCTCGTGCCTTCACAAAGCTGCTGTTTTAAAGCCTCCTGGAGATGCCTCATGATCGAGCTGGATGCTCTGAAGGCAGATGCATCAGTGAGAGACAACCCAGTGTCTGCCTGTGCCAGGCTGTGTGTGAGCTCACATAACTGAGCCCCTCTGCCCTCCGCCCACTCAGCCCTACTGTTATCCACCTAAACCTCATCCTCCTTCCATGCTTGAAGTCTCTTTTAGGACATCTCCAATCTGCACGTTTGAAGCCTAGAGTCTCCCTGACTCCTCTGTGCCCCTCCCACCTCCCACCTAAATCCTCCCCCAGTTCTGCTGACTCTCATCCTAAGTGCTGTGAATATACGTCTTCCTTCCTATCCCCTGCGCCTCGGCCTAAGTGGAGGCCTCCTCACCCTCACCTGCTTGCTGCTGGTCTCCTGGCTCTAAACGCTTGTCTTTCCAGGCCGTCCTTTGGGCATGGAATGAGCCTCCTGCAACGCCGGCCAGGGCTCCTTGCTCTGCTCTCAGACTTGGACGAGCGGTGCTGTTCGGGTCCCTAACAATGCACCCTTGTTCTTCCTCCCAGGGCCTCCCCTAACCAGCCACATATCTTTGCCTGTGCAGCACCTGCAGCCTGGAGCTGGCAGCCAATCCCCCGCAGGTCCCGTCACTGAAGAAGCTGTCCCAGCTCTCACCAGGCCAACGGCTCTGCCCTGGTCCTCAACGTCCGTGGGACTTATTAACTCACCTCTGAGGAAGATGTCCTTCCTTAACTGATTGCGTTCGTGTCCCTTCTCCCCATGGCAAGGCAAGGAACTGTTTTAAACATATTTACAACTTGTATGTTGCCTTGCGCAAGCAAGAAATTAATATTTTTCCGGATTCCTGGTCAGGTATACCAAACTCAAGAATCAGCAATTTTCTGGAGATTTTTTTTAATAATGAACTTTTGCAGCGAATGGTGAGTTTGCCCATGAGTCGATGTACATGGAAGGGAGATGACAAGGCTATTTCATCCATGTTTTGATTTGGCATTCTAGAATTTATGAGTTTCAACTCTGCTGGACTTAGAACAGATGCCAAATAGATGGATGGATCTTAGACCCTCTATGACAGTAACTTCCTCCCACCCCGGTCTGTGTGTGAAAAACAAGTCACAAGACAACAGAGATATCCTGCTCCCCAGAGGAACGAGTATAAACGGAGCTTCCACGCTCGGGAGCTTCTCGCTGAAAGAGGGGACAGTGTTTGCAGAGGCGTCTGGCGATGTGCTTTTGGAAAAACACGGAGAGGTACCGTCTGAACTTCTCCCCGACGAAGGCGTAGATGATGGGGTTGATACAGCAGTGCGTCATCCCGAGGGTCTCTGTCACCTGCATGGCTTGGTCCAGCCTATTAGAGCTACTGCAGTTATTCAGGCCGAAGAAGGCCTGGAAGGTGTTGAGCAGAAGGACGATGCTGTAGGGCGCCCAGAAAAGGAAATAAACGATCATGATCACGAAGATGAGCCTCACGGCTCTGTGCCTCCTCTGCTCGTTTCGACAGCGAAGCAGGGTCTTCAGGATTCCCGAGTAGCAGATCACCATGACAAGCAGTGGCAGGATCAGGCCCAAAAAGACTATCTTTAATGCCTGGAAATTCTTCCAGAAATGATACTGGCTGGGTGGGTAATGAGGGCTGCATGTACAACGAGAGCCTTCTTTTTGGGATTTGGTAAAGATGATTCCTGGGAGAGAGGCGAACACAGCCACCACCCAGGTGACCCCACTTGTCATCATCCCAAAGGTGACTGTCCTGGCTTTTAAAGCAAACACGGCATGGACGATAGCCAAGTACCTATCCATTGTCAAGAGGATGATGAAGAAGATTCCAGAGAAGAAGCCAATAAGATAGAGTCCCGTCAAAAACTGACACATTCTATTTCCAAAGTCCCACTGGCCTGCTGCATAGTAAGCCCAGAACGGGATGGTGAAGAGGAAAAGCAGGTCGGAGATGGCCAGGTTGAGCAGGTAGATGTCGGTCATGCTCTTCAGCTTTTTGCAGTTTATCAGGATGAGGACGACCAGCAAGTTGCCCACGAAACCAAAGATGAACACCAGCGAGTAGAGCGGGGGCAGGAGGCTGGCCGCTATCTGCCTCACGTTGATTTTCTGGCAGGGCTCCGCCATACTGTAATCAATGTCATAGGATGGAGTCGCCACTGAGTAATCCATCTTGCTCTACCCTGTGAACGAAGAAACAGTGATCTCGTGTAAGGTCCTAGAATATACTTGGTGGCCCACCGTGAATATAAACTGTCTTATACAAGAACAGGTTCTTAAACTTGATGCATAGATTTCTACATTCACTTGAGCCCCATTTTTTGGCCAGTGAACTTTAGTAATAAAGGGAAGGCTTGTTGCTAGCTTCCTTTGCTCACTTGCTCTATGGGGAAATTCACAAAAGCATCATCTCATCAAAAAAAAATCTGGTGTTCCATAGCCACGTGGAATGAGTGATGGTTTGATAACAATTTCACGAAACTGAGCCAGGCACCGTCCATCCAGCATGACCCCGAAACTGCCGTTCCCTGGAGTGAGCTCACAGGAGCCTCCCCACGAGCGTGCTGTGATAATTAACAGTTCCCAAGGGCATGCTGCATGCCATCCACTATTCTAAGTCATTTATTCAATGACTCCTCAAGGTGACCCGATGAGGCAGCTCATGGTATTGTACCCAGCTGACAGATAAGGACATCAGAGCTCAGAGAGGATGCATAGCTTACCTAAAAACATACAGCTAGGAAGCAAGTGGTTTTGAACGCAGGCAGCCTGCATTCTTCCCCACCGCGCCACCCTGCCTTTCATTCTTTCGTGAGAGAACTGAAGGGCAGGACCATCAGCCAGGTGTCTTGATGTAGTCAGAACAGAATGGGCCGATGTCAAGGTCAATTGTAGAACCCAGACTACCATTTTCACGTTTCCTCTGAAGTTTGTGTTTCTAGTTCCTGAGCTGCTATGATTAAGAGATTCCCCACATAGACAAGAACTGGCCAAATGGAAGATACTCCATCTACTGTCAGACTTTCTTGATTCGCTCAGTCCCTTCTGGCTTGCCTGGTCTGCTTCTTCTGGACTGAGAATTCTAAGTCATCCCTGTGAGTCTCAAACTCCCCGTGCCTGGGATTGGGCAGCTGGGAGGAGCACCCAGAAAATTTCCCCTTTAAATTCTGAGCCAGAAAAAGAATCATACACCAAATGTACTGAGGAACTGATATGTTAAAAGGTGACTTTGTTTAACATTTATAATTTGATATTAATTTGGACAATTTTAAGGCTTCCTCTTTTCAGGGGGAAAAAAATTCCAAAAGAACCAGATTTAGACACAATTTATGGCTGGGCTCGAATTCAGAAGAAATCCTGGCAGAAGGTTTTAGTTCTCCAACCAGAAGATAATCTCTACCAAGGTTTTGGCCAAGAATCATCTCTCTGAAAATCTCTCTTTTGAAAGATAAGGTTTCGGTTTTTTTAAAAAACTATTTTTCCGTTTCAAATCTTTCATTCATAATCGTGTTTGGTATCTTTGATGTTATCACAGTCTGAAACACATTCTAAATTCTAACTCTTTCCTTATCTTAAGGATTATATTTTAAGATAGTTCTGTGAGCACCTGGCGTTGGTCAAATGTCTTCTGTGAGTTTCCTGTAAAGGCTTGTACTCATCACAGAAGCTGAGCTAGTTAATAGACAAAGTGGTTGAGAGGTGACTTACCGGGAGAGTTTCTTGTTGGGGGTGACGGATGTCTGAGCTTCTCTGACCAGCTGAGCTGTGCAAATCAAACATATAGACAACATCAGAATAGGAAATGCAATTTCGACTGAAAAGGGGGCGGAGTTTTAATGCCTAAGTATATGTAAGGCAAAAAATCAGAGGAGTTCTTCCTTCTTCTTTTTTAAATTGAGCTTAAAATAGCTCTCTGGTCTGAATGGTTATTCTTGGGTTTCCCTAGTTACATTATTTTCTTTCTGCTCATCCAAGTACATAGTCTGTTGGGAGCTCAAAAGAATTGAAGGATATTAGCACTAGAAGAACATCAACATGCATCCAGTCAAACCTAGAAACGAGGTGAAACTAGACAGAAGTTGCTACCCAAGAGGCAAATGATTCCTACGAGGCCACGGGGCTTATCAGCGATGAGGCTGGAAGGGCGAAAGATTCTGATTCTCTTACTCTTTGTCCTCGAAGAAAGCCAACTCAAAGAACTTGAAATTGAGAGGGGCGTGCTTCATAACCCCATGCTTGCTTCGGCCCACCTCCCTCCCACCCCCACCCCCTCGCCTACCAGAATTCATACACCTTTGCTCACCACCCATACGATTTTTCTCTGTAAACTGGAACAACTGGTTATCTCGAGCGTTTTAACTCTAGGTTCACTTGTAAGCTAAACAGGTTGACGACCTTTCTCAGGATCGGATATCTTGTGGGGCACGGAAATTCATTCTGAATTTTCACTCTACCTATTTGCTATTTTGCAGCCCTCCAGACCAGCAGGCATCGATCGATCGGTACCTGCACCTTGCCAGATACCCAGGTGACGAGAGTTCCTCATTCCAAGGATACGGCCTTCCTGGAGCTTTAAGAAATTTTCGACACGGAATAGGTAACGAATGCCAGAAAAAGAGGGTCCCGTTCAGGATGATATGCAACAATGCTATAGGCAGTCACATCAAGTTTTCTTGGTGGCTGATTACTTATCTAGAAACCTCAGTCGTTGACAGCAGAGCTGTGAACAGAGTGGGAACCCACACCCGGGCCGCAAGAGGCTTCCGTTTCCTTAGCCGGTGATCTGAGGGAAGGCAAAGGAGACCCCACACTGGTAGAGACCCCAAGGTACCCCAAGGCAGGGGCCAAGCGAGTGGCCTCTGCAGTCAGCCTGCCTGAGCATGAAGCCTGGCCCTGCCCACAGCATTCACATCTGTGTAATTCTCATCTGAGAGACAGTCGACCCTTCATGGGTTTGGTGGGAGACGTACGTGAGGTGCCCACGTCCAGGGTATATAGCACGTGATAGATACTCGATACACACCAAATTTACTCATTCTGTGGTCCTTTCTTAGGGAGACTTGTTTGAGAAAATTCTCACAGACTTGGTTCCCTGGGGTCCTAGTCTGGGGCAGATTAATATTAGCAAATGAGAAGCTGAAAGTGTGAAGCTAATGGCTGGGCTTAGAGAATAGGAGAAATGACTCCAGGTGAAGCTGGGGAAGCACAGAAATAGCCCGGCGATCGAGAACCACCCCTACAGGGACATGTGTTTGTGTTTATGACAGAGCCCGATAACTCATCACCCTAACCGGGAGAGCGCAGCGTGAAGAAAATGTTCGGGGCCCCCCATCTGTGCCATCCAGGAGGCGGCAATGAGGAACTGGGCTCCGAAGTCACGCTGGATTTCAACTTCCGCTTCACTATTTACTATTTAATCTGAACAAGCTACCGAAAGGCTCCAGTCCTCAGTTTTCTGATCTGCGAAATGGGGGCAAAAAAACAAAACAAAACAAAAAACCTCGCTGAAGACACCAATCTTCTTGATAGGTCTGTGGTCAAGATGAAATGATATACTGGCCCCGCAGACACAGAGAACAAGCTGACGGTTGCCAAAGGGGAACTTTTAAAACAGGAGTTAGAGGAGGGAAAAATCTAGGGGGCCTGTAGGTTTTCAGCAGAGCTTAGAAAAATTATGTTAACGTTTACCACTTATATAGTATTTACTATGTGCCAGAAAAAAAGAGGAAAAGATCAGATGATGTAACAAGTGTAGAGACTTTGGCAGATACCTGTCCTGTGTGGGCTATTTAAGCAGTGAAATACGAAGTATGCATTAGAAAGAGTTCACAAGATGGGTAGCAAATAAATTAATACAACATGTTATGGAAAATAGGACACACACAGTTTTGGTTTTTGGAAGAGTAGCTCGTGCTTGCGGGTAACACGCTGGGCAGCCCTCAGCTGCTGCAGGACAAACATTACATTTCTGTATGAGGCGGATTTGTTCCGACTTCCTCCCCAGCACAGAGCTGGGGCTTTGCCCTGTATCCAGTATCTTGTCATCTGGGTGGCTGAGCCCCCGACGGCAGGCTCACCCGCAGAGGGCAGTGTGGAGCAGTGGAACAGGTTCAGAGTCACTGCTGCCGACAACCGGTGTGCTCTGCGTGAGATACTTTCCCCCAGAGCTTCCATGTCCTCCTCTGTCAGGTGACGTGCCAAGCCTGGGGCTCCTGAAGGCTGCTTCCCCCTTCAGTCCTGATGACTCCGTGGCCACGCTGGTAGATATTGGATGGGAACAGGGTGAAGATCCATAGGCTGAAACAGGGAAGCCCAGCCTGGCAGGGTGGGTTACTCCCTGTCAGCTTTCTGGATCCAGGGGTGAGTTCAGGTCACCTCTTGAAATATGAGTCTCTTGCAAGGATGCACAGGAAGTGAGGACACGTGGGAACTTCTTCAGCACTTCATCAACGAAACGCTGCTCTGGATACAACGATGACGACAAACTAGCAGTTTGTCATGCCGTGGCTTAGTTTCCTGGTCTCTGCTTTTCTTGTCACTTTGGACCCACCTCCCACTCTGCAGGGTTCTCCTTCTCATAGATATGTGGCATTCAGACCCCCCCACCAGAAACGACCTTTTGACTGGTTTGTCACTCTAGACTCGATGCCCGTGTCGGAAGGTGTCTCACGCCAGCACGCTTCGTGGGGCACTGGCCAGCCTTAAACAGCTGCTTCAGATTGCACCCAAGTTTCAAGGGCTGCTGCCCCTGCCTTGCCCACGCCCTCCCTGGACCATATACTCAGAGCGCCATTGACAAGATGGGGAGAATGTCCAGTCTTTTCCTTGGGTTCAAAGAGCCAACTGCATGAGCACAGGGAGCTGAAACCCCGCCTCACAGCGGCTCACGTGAACATACTGGGGCTCGAGCTGACTCTAGCTCAATGTCAGTCGACGGTGAGATAGGCTGTCAAAATAGCAAACGCATCTATTAGTTTCGAACACAAATATCTAATTATAAAACCAACACACGCTCATTGTATGAAGTTAGGAAAAGCAGAAAAAATAGAAAGTAAGAAAAAAGTTAGGCATATTCTCACAATCTCAAAACAACCCCCAACATACGATGTGTTTCAACCCCGACCTTGTCCTATGCATCCTTTTTGATTAATTGGTCTCACTCATAGACCAGTTCTGT